ATATCTCATTTTCTGTGAAAGATATCAAAAAGTGGCTAACTAGTAAAATGTTGCTGATATCCTGATAAACATTTTACTAGTTAACCACTTTTTGATATTTTTCAAAAGAAATGAGATATATAGGCTCAAAGTGGACGATCCGGGTGTCGTTCTATTAGAGGTTTTACGGTATTATTGGGTGAGTGGAGTTTAGACAAGTCCAGAAACGTTCTAAATCTCTTCCAGTGGCTTTATCTTTGTTAATGGTGGGGGGACATGAAAAAAATAATGTTCTCGAAATTAAAAAAAAGATGCCCCTCGAGGAGTTGAACTTGTGAGGGTGAGGATTGAGGGTGCGGCGCCGCTACCGACTGAGCCACGCGGGCAAAGAGAAAGCGCACGCCCGATTGCATACGTAAAGGCGAGGACGACAGCTGTACGCAGAGTGACATTAAGCGTTGTACACCGTGACGGTAGAATGCATACTCTAGCTACAAAAAAACTACGAAAAATCTCCTGTCCCCCCACCTTTAATGTGAAATTCAGATTCTGAAAAAAAAAACCTCAAAAATTTTTAACGTGAGAAATCAAGAGATCCGAAATATTCTGCCAAATGACAATCCACTGAATCAGTATCTGCTTCTGTCAAATGACAATCCACTGAAAAAGTTATAATTTTTAGTTAAAAATGGACATCTTTGACGTCTAAAAAATAATATATTTCAGTAGATTTTGTTTGATGAGACTTAAAATCGTCAAGCCCATTGAGTAAGCTTTCCATCTCGGGCGGGCCTCCAGAAAACGCCCGTCACCCCAGAGGGTAACGGGCCGCCCTACACCCGAGAGGGTAACGGGCCGCCCTACACCCGCCCTATACGCCCGGTTTCGTGGTCCAACAAAATTATGTCACGCTGAATAAACGCGCACCACACTTTTTGATATCTTTTGACGCAAAACAATAAATGAAATTTAATTCGCGCGTTTCAAAATATAGGGCGTCGGGCGGGCGCCACACCCGGGCGGGTGGGGCGGGTGAAATTCTCCCGAGATGAAAGCTTACTATTGAGCAATAACAAAACCTCTATATTGTGGAAATTTTGATTTAAAATCTAGAAAATTTCAAAATTTCATATCGAATTCGAACAAAATAATAATAATGAAAGACAATCAAATAAATTATTAAATATCGTCTTGCTGCTTGGAATGAGCAAGGCCTAACCGTTTGTTTTCAATGTCATGGATGTTACAAAATTGGCGAATAAACGGATCGCCGAGGATCCACGAAGGACCGAATCCTCCTCCATATATACCGAAAAGTGTGAGATCACATTCTTTGGAATCCGGCTGCAAAAATCAATTTTTAAATGAAGAATGTTTTTAAAAACTTACGTAAGCAACTAAATTGATAGGATCGATCTCTAATTGTATATCATTGATTTGCAATTTCAGGGATGGAAGACTTTTCACTTTGGAGCATGGAATAAAGTAGGATTCATTGAACTCGTCGTATTCCGCTCCATACTTCTGGAGTTTGAATAATTTTTAACATGAAAAGTTTTTTAGATACCTCTGCAATTTTTTCTATAACTTTTCCCGGTCCTCCAATAAACGAAGTTCCAGTATCTGAAATCACTTCCCATCCAGCGGTGTTCTCGTGAACACTATCGACTCCAACTCTGTAAAAAGTTTTCATGCTTCTATTCAACTTCTACAGTACTCACGCTTGCATTCTGAATTGCCAATATGAAGCTCTTGTCAATGGAATCCATGTAATGATCTCTCCACAATGGTCCGGATCCTCTCCACCATATGTGAAATATCCCCCATTGGCTGCTCGTTTCATTCCATGATGTTCTAGGTAGACTGTGAAAATTGGCTGATCCACAAGTCCCTGATTCACAGCATTCACAAATGGCGGTGGTGCATCGTTGACTGCTAGATCTGTGAATCCCAATCCGAGGATCCCATCGATTTCTTGATTAGCGAAGAATGGAGCGATAGTGCTTGCTTGCCCGAATATTTGCGACTTGATGCAGAGAGTGGTATCGGAGAACTGGAATAGAAAAATAGTTTAATATCTTGTAAACGCTGGGAACACGAACACATAAAGTATCCTTTCCGAAAACTCCCGAAGCACTTCCAGTTCCATAGCTTATACTGAATGGGCGACCGTCCTTTTCATATGAACTGGAGTCTGTGGCAAAGAATTTATTCTTGCGCTGGCATGCGGAGCGTCTGAATATAAAATTAATTGTTTCGATTTCTTTAGCGAAAAGCTTACTGGTCATGTAAACCACAAGTGTTATCCGGAACCCATACATTTGAGCTACCAGTGTCCAAAACTACAAGGAAGGTTTGTTCAGGAGCAGAAGCGATTGGAGTTCCCAAAGTGATGTTTCCAAAATATGCATAATCTCGGAAATCTGCGACATGCTGGTGTTGAAAAAAGCTTCTCAATCCATATTTCTGTGTAGCATGCTTGAGCAGTTGTCCTCTTTGTACACGAGTTTGATACTTGGATCCAATGACAGAAGAAATAAAAATGGCACATAATAGGAATAGTACAGAACAATAATGTTTCATTCTGTTCCGATCCATGTTTATTCCCATCTCGTCTTTTATACTTTTTCGTTTTTTTCAATCAAAACATGCGAGGCTTATCATTATCATCATTATCAACTAGAATTAATGTCATCGCTTTTTTATTTTTATTTTTCGGTTTGTTATTGAGTGGGTTGATGAGAAAAGGAACATTGATACTACCTTTTTACTAACGAACTGTTTTTTATAGTTACTCGATAGCAGAGAAAAGCAGAGTGAGAAATCGGAAAATCCGGGGAAAGGGAGTAAGGAATAAGGAACGGAAAAAAAACAGTCGGAAGCAGAATCACTTTTTTTGAATAATCCAGTTTTTTATTTTTCAAAGAAATCTGAGAATAGCCTGAAAGGAGAAAGGCTCCATTGAACGACATCTTGAGGGATAGCTTACAGTTAGGTGGAGATAATATTTTTAAGCGCTGAGCATTTTAAACTATAAATTTTTCAAATTATCCGGAATAATGTGAAAAAAATAAGGAAGACGGAAGAAGGAAGAAGACATTCCGTTCATTTCCGTTTACCAGGCAGTTACAGTGATAACACTCTGAAAGTCTAGACCGCCAACGCAAAGTTAGAATGGACAGCTTGCACATATGAGCACATAATACTTTTTGTTAGTTGGGTTATGAGGTTAATTTGGTATTGGAACAGAAATATATTGGGAATGAAAAACAGAGCTGCTTCGGGTTTACTTGAAATTCACTCGATAAGGCATATCTAATTGGGTTATTCAGCTAACCTGCAAAAAACCAAGCAACTCTGCAAACCAATCTTCTGAAACTTTGGGGAAAACTGGAGAAAACTATAGGGAACATGTAATATGTTACAAATTGCCAAAACTTGGGGCAATTTTGAAAATTTGGATGAAATTAATGGCAACACTTCAATGTGAATTTTGACCCCAAATTTTGAGGAATATGTTCCCTATAGTTTTCTTCAGTTTTACCCCAAAGTTTCAGCCAGATTGGTTCAGACTCCAAGTTTTCGCGGAGTTTTTGTCTTTTTTGCCGGTTAGCTGAACAAACCCCATAATTTTCTGAGTGTATGCTTGTTGAAAAACGGAGCCTATATCTTAAAACGAGAATTGTTGACCTGAAAAGGGGCTACGTTTCTCGTGAACTCTGGCCAGCTTCGAATTGTATTTTTTGTTCACAAACCCTTCCTGTTCTCTTCCCATATCCTGTATCCAAACATTTATTTCAATATTTTCTTATTGTAAACTGCACTCATTGCAATATCAGGTTCGCCTCCGCCCCTCCTCCCAAATTCCTCATTCAATTTTCAGTAAAAAGTAGGGTCAATGAACGGTGGTGGTGAGAACAATGAGTATGTCATCGTGTCCTAAAAAACACTTTAAAAATTCCAAAATTTCAGCTTTTTCGAAGAGAAATGTGCCCCACCGATGCGTCGTGGAAATGCTCAACAACAGAAGCAGGGAGGTGGTCTTCCACCGGAATTGAAGCCTAAATTCCCGAAAACCGAAGAGAATCCACTCCCTGATCTACAGACGCCACCGGCTGTACCGGATTTTTTTCCAGGGCTAAAAGATGGAGAACCTGAAAATCCGGTTAGTTATTTTTCTCTTGCTGCTTAAACGTTTCATAAAAATCCCGTTTGAATTTGTTCCCTTTATCCTGCCTACGTTTTCAGCCATTGGAAGGAGACAACCAAACTCTAGAAGTCCCATCAAAAGAAGTCGAAACACCAGAACTTCAACAAGGTCCAAAGAAAAAGAAGAAGCCTAAAAAGCCGAAAAAGCCAGATCCAGGAACAGCGTTGGCGCAATTTGTGGATGACGAGCCAGGGGAAGGGAACAATGCAGTTGGCCAATTTGTAGATGGTGATGGAGCAGCTGAAGCGGTGATTTTGAATATAAAGAGGCATATAATTAGAATGTAAAGTTTCAGAAACCAGTAAAGAAAAAAGAGAAGCCGAAAGAGAAACCGAAAGAGAAAGTGGTTGAGAAGGAGAAGGATAGTAAACGGGATAAGGAGCCGAAAGAGATGCTGTTGAAACAGCAACTCGCTGCCAAGCAGAAACAGAAGCAACCCAAAACGGAGAGCTTGGTGAATTTATAGGAGTTGATATGGTACCATTTATAAACAATTTTTCAGCGCCAGAAAGGAAAACCAAGTGGAAATCAGAGTAACCGACAGAAGAAGACGCAAGGAAGTCAGGTGAGAATGCTCTGAAAAACTGTAAAAGTTTTGTAAAATTGTAACATAAAAAATAGCGGAAAACCTGTACAAATGTTTACTTCGAAAATGGAAATTTGAAAAAAAAAGTTTTAAAAAATTTTCGAATTTTTCTACATTTTTTTTCAGTTTTTCTCAAAACTGTCGAAACTGTGCCTATTAGATCACAACGAATTCAAACACCTGCTAAGTCTCGGAAATAATTTTTTCAATTTTTCTGAAACTTTCCAGGAATATTTATCTAGTTCAAAAATTAACCGAAAACCTGAAAAATCTTGAAAATGTTTTTATTGCTCACAAATGTGTCTGTTCCAGAGAAGGGCCGGCACTAAACAAGTTCAAGCACAAACTGCCGTCCAGCCTGTTCCTCCAGCTCCACCAATCAAATCAGCTCAAAAACCATTGGCTCCTGTACCACCAGTACCAGCTAAACCAGCATTACCACAAGCGGCAAAGGTGACAATCGCGGAGAAGGAACCTAATGGTAAAGTAACCTCCTGTGTCCTCATAATTTGGAACATTTTTGTGAATTTTCCAGAGGGATTCTTCAGAGGTGCATTCGCAAAGGCAAAGAAGAAAATTCTGGATATGTCCAAAAATCCGAATTATGTTCCTTCGAGTGATACTAACCTGGCGGACGAAACACTTATTGCGAACGAAGAAGTTATTAAACCGGAAGTAGTGGCCACTTATGGTGCTCCAACTGACTATCCAAAAGGAGTTCTTCCACCGAAATCCAACAAAAACCATCCGGACAAACTGTTTCCGGGAGGACGTCTGTTTTGGATGATTCGTACCGAAAAACCACCAATCGCCAAAGTGATTGTCATGACTGAGCTACAAGCTAAAATGAAAATCAATAAGAATGCATTCGATTCTCCACTTCCCCCGAGAACGGATCCTTTCACTCCGTACTGCAAGGATTGGACGATACTTCAGAATCACGATGAGCAATTTGGTACGAATCGTGTGAGTTATTTTCAGATTGAATTGGTTTTCTAAAGATGATTTCAGATAATTAATTTCACAATCCGAAGTGTATGTCTGGTGAAAGCCCGTAAGCTTGAAAGAGAACGAGTTGGAAAGGTTAATAAAAATCCAACAAAAACAAAGCAAATGAAAATTACCATCCCCACTTATTGTCTCAATTACAACAGGTGATAAATCATCAAAAACATTTTAGGGATATCTGAAAATTTTCAGAAAAAATTTCCAAACAAAGAAACAAGTGAGAACGCATAAGGACTTTAAATTCGGGGCCAATTGCAAGAGGAAGAAGAAAAAGAAGGATCGTGGACAGAATAGTATAACTGACTGATATTAAAGATTTTTAGTACTTTATGATCTACTTTTCTTGTCTGTTTTGAACTCAAAAATAGTACGTTGAATTTGAAACTTTGAGAAAATGGAAACGATTGATACAACTGGTCCCTGGAGACACGTGGAATGCTCTTTTCGCATGGAAAGAAAGATGCGAAAAGAAGTGAGCATTTTGTGGGCCAAGGAAACGAGGAACTGGTGATGAAGAACCCAGAAGCCATTCCTACCGCTTTATTCATTGTTTAGTAATACGTACCTCTGTTTTTTTTTGGCTGGTTTTTCAAGAAGATTTATGTTCCGTAAACTATTCGATTTTATGAGTGGTATTGAGGTTGAACCTCTCTTCAGTTATTTCTGAAAAAAAAAACTTTTCACTATAGCTTGTTCAGATTTTTTGATAATTTCTAATCCTCGTATGTTTTGGGAGGTTGAATTTTTAGAGGTAACCCGTAACCGGTCAAAAATATCACCATTTGATTTTCGTTTCGGTGGAATGTAATCAATGTTAAAGCCTTGATAACCGTAAAACCTGTAATAGAAGGGCAGGCCCTTCTATCAGACGGGTCCTTCTATTAGAGGGGCACTCCAGTTAGAGACCGCCCTTTTTTCTGACCATTTTTCGGAAAGTTTTCGTCAAATAATTCGGTCAATTTTAGTGAAAACCGATCAATTTCACAAAAATTGACAAATTTCCGAAAAAAAGGTTTGGAATTTCTGGAATAGTTCTAACTGAAAATGTATATAAATTTTCGATTCCAAACCATATTTTGAAGAGGATCCTTTTATTAGAGGTTTTACGCTATCTGCATAATGGTCAATTTTCGCTTAATTTATCTAGCTTTCGTTGATAAAGAGGATATTTTTGCAGCTATATTATTGATTACCATATTGCTCCTAGGATAAGATAGGTTCGAAACAGAAAAAAATGAGTATAAAACTTTTTTTCTAATTTTATTTTTTTTCTAATTTTCCTATTTTTTCTAATGTTACTTTTCCTCAAGTAATTAATTTTTGATATGTTTCCGAGAAAAAAACTGACCCCATGTTGACGAAGTAAAACCCTTATTCAACAGGTTTTACGGTATATCCTCCATGATTTTTTTTGCTTAGGACCATTTTGAATAAGTTGAATTCTTTCCTCTAGAGTTTTGAAAATATATCTATAGTTTTAAAAGTAAGTTCCTCCTACATCAATACGTATGTATTTTAGCTCTTTCTGAATTGTAATTCTCAGGGTTAAAACTCGAAACCATCCGCCATCTCACTTGTTACCCCTTCTCTCAACACACATTGAATTTATAAATCACAAGTTAATAGGGGCTCTCAAGAGTGCCATTTCCGACACACAAAAAATGGGGAAAGAAGAAGTCGTCGATGGGCATTTTGACATGTTGAATATGTTCTTTCTCTACAACCTCTTTTTTTCTAAACCGAGTTCTTCTTTTGAGTTGTCAAAGTTAGTATTATTTTACAGAAAAGGAATAAATTGCATATCTCGTAAATGCAGCCAGTCGTATCACCGACATCATCAGCACCATCGACGACAGGTAAAAATGAGGTGAGTGGTCTTTTTTGTTGCTCTGACACGAAATGACCTGTTTTTGTCCTCACTATGAATGTTTGGTTTTGTTTAGTTGAGTTCTGTTTTCTAAAAAAAAACCAAAAGAACTGTTTGTACTAATTTATCATTAAAATGTTCCTAAAGTTGCACGGTATTTGAAAGTGTTTTTTCAAAATATTCCTCCGAAAAAGTTCAGAGGAATTCGAAATCCCGGAAAACGCCCTCGAAAATTCAAACGCGCTCAGTTCTCGTCCAAGAGGGTCGCGGAAATCCTAGTCCACGGTCATTGTGTGAACTGTTTTTCACGCAAATTTTCAGAATTTTCCGCCGTCCCCGGTCGTTTTTTTTTGTATTTTTAGTGAAAAAGGATTATTCTATTGGAAACTCCATGAAGAGAACAAAAAAGTCTCGTTGACCTCACAAATGGCTGTAAATTTCATGAAAAAAACTTGGGCGAAAATTGAGCGCTGTTGCATTTTCTGAAATTTCGAATTTTTCTGCATTTAGTAGAAGTAACATTATAAAAATACATAACTTTGGGAACATTTAACTGAAAAAAAAACGAAAAAAACTTTTGTTCGGAGTCCCCTTCAAAGTGTCTCAATAAAGCTTTGGGAGAAAACACCGTTTCTCGAAGACCATATGTGTCATTTTAAAAAATCTGGCGATGTTCTGGTTCGACTGTTTCTTGAGAAAAACCTAATGAACTTTGACCGCAATGAAACAAGTGATATCTTGTGAATGAGATGATGTTCGTCAAGTATTCTGACATTCCCAATCCAAACTCTATCTATTTATCCAGCCGAACCTTTTCTCACATAAATTATTTTTCCTCCCTCTTCTTTTCGGTTGTCTCCTTCCTTTTCTAGATCAACCGACATCCAAAAGATTGGACCCAAAAGGGAGAAGATGGCCCAATATGAAAAGAGGGTGACAAATCTCTCGAAAAAGGAAACAAATCCTTGCTATTCTTCTCTCTCTCTCTCTCTCCTCTCTCCAATCAACTTTTTCCGGAACAGAGAAGATCGCCTCTGGGGGATTCAGGAGACGTGAGGCCAAGTCCTGAAGGAAACGAAGAGAAGTGTGTGTATTCCGGACCGAAGAGTCTCTGTCTTTAACTGGCCAATAGACCACTCTCTCTCTTCTGTCATTTGGGTGAGAAGAAGATGTTTCTGTTTGTGTTTGTCTGTGTACATCTTCCCACCCTCACTTCCTAACACCCCTGGTTCCGAACAATCTATCAAGAACGTCTCGAACTTTCACACAATCCGCCTCTTTTTTAGTATTACTTCTGGGACTGGAAAGCTGCGATGTTCCTAGTTTACTCAACGCCTTTCTCCTTCATGTAGTATGCTCCGCCCATTTTTCGGTCATTCACGAATCTATTGGATTAGTGTTGTCTCAATGTTGCCCTTCCTGTTTTGAGCAAGTTCGCAGAAAAAAGTTATCTTGTTCTTAAGATGCCCAAGACAGAATTTTTAATACTTCCTATACCCTACAGTCTCACATCTATAATGACTAGATTTTCCTTCCGTAATCAAATTTTTACAGTTTAAAATATAACATTTTTCAATTAATTATCTCATTGATACGTTGGTTCAGCTATGATTGGTTGTACGCTCTATGAGATGAGTTTAAAAACACTTTACTGGGTTAGCCTTCTTAATTGGGGGCCTACATATTGACTGTGATCAGTTATAAACAGTTTTCTACAACCTCCTTAGTGCAGCTGTAATTATTATACTCTACTTTCACTTCAAAATCATTTTTTTACAGTTTCAAATAAAACATTATTCATTCACTTTGTTTATCAATGCGGTAGGTCCACATTTTCGTTTCACCTATAATCCTTTGAATGAGCTCTGGGGCCGTATTCATGAACATTTACTTTTGTAAATCATTTACTCTCAAAAATCAACCGAAAAACGTGAAAATTTAAGAGAAATCATTTACTTTCTGGTAAATACCCCTCTTTATGGTAAATAGGGGTACTAATTTCGGTTGCGGTTTACAACCACTTCTAGGAAACTTTTCATTCTAAAAAAGTTATGTATGGAAAGAATAGTATTGTAACATCGATAATATCTAACTTTCAACATATGTTTCGTTTCTGTTCAACTTGAAAAATATGACTTCGGATACAAATGATATGAATGGATAGAGCATTCAATTTAAAGCAATGTGCCAAAAAATGAGCATTTTTTAGTTTAAAGTAGTTGAGAAATTCTAGTTCAGAGTCGTTTTCCTATCTAAAAAACAGGAAAATTATTTAAAAATGAGAAAAAGATTTTCAGTACATTTTCACGCTTCCATTTACTTTTTGGTAAATGATTCAGTTTGATTTTTTGAGAGTAAATGATTTACAAAAGTAAATTTCATGAATACGGCCACTGATCTTATAACAAAAAAATGCTGACAGTTTAAGGCCATTTTTTACATTTAAAACTTTTTCTTAATTTCTGAATAGCTCAATGAAACTGCAAAAAGGAACCCATATTTAATTTGAAGACCTATCACATTCAAAAAAAATTTGACTGTTTCATGAGTTTTTGAAGTTTTAGTCATACTGATATCGAATAATTAGCTTTCCATATCTTGTTCTGGTACAAAAAACTCGGAGCTTTGAAAGAAAAACACCCTGGTGACCTATCGAAAACTTTATATTTCCCACTTTTTGGGAAAAAATAGCAAAAAACTAGAAAAAAGCAGTGGAAACGAGAAAATGGATTCTGAGTTTAAAGGGGGACACCGACCAGAAATTTTTATTGCATTAAAATGTGTTAAATTTATCTATTTTTCAAATATTATTGCGAAAAAATTCAAAGAAAATTCGAAATCCCCGAAAAACGGCGTTGAAAAGGAAGACAATTCAAAAAAAGGTGCCGCCGGGGGACGAGGATTTTCAGTGAGAAACCTAGTCCACGG